TATATGGCCGTTCAAGTGATCTATATGATCGAAGGGGTTTTAATTTACACGGAAAATAGTTGACTGATGGAAATCTAGTTTATTAGGGATTTAGATAACATATCATCTGATTTTTTGGTCGCAGTCTCTGGACGCGAATTCATCCCCTGAACAAAATTAAAAATTAAATTTTGTTGGACACACTGTCATAGAAAATTGTTCGGCATCATATCTTTTCTTTAGTCTTCCACCCTTCATTTTTACTGGGACTAGTTTGCTAGTGTGTACGTGTGCTCGTAGTATTACTATTTAATAGGGAGTTTTTTCTTTCTGTCGCATAATGTTTTTTAATTTTTTTTATTTACGTTAAAGCATGGAACGTATCATTTTCACATTATAATTAATAGCATGAGACCGTCATCTCAATAATTGTTGCAGATGTAAGTACTTTGAAAACTAAAATTATTAAAACAAAAATGATTCTGGTTTTAGGTTACAGCTACAGGTGTTGCTATTTACAATATTGAATATAGAATATAGAATAGCGGTTTTTAAACTTTTGGTGCCCACGGACCATTGACAAAAGACTTTAGAAATCGCGGACCCCCTTACTACCTTTTTTTTTTTTACAAAATATCTCATTTTATCAATATTTACCGATAGAGCAGACGCGGACTTCCGACATGAATATCACTCCCCCCCCCCAGGAGGCCGCAGACTTCAGTTTTAAAAACCACTGATCTAAGTTGTTCTACAGTGTAATCTTTATAGTAACAATTCTGTTAATACTTCTACATTTTTATTTTCAATCGTATTTTATGCGAGGGGGACATATGTAGAGCGGCAGTAGTAGTGTACGATAGTGGCAGATTTAAAGGGTGGGGGTTGAGGTTACGGAATAATTACCCCCTCCCTACGGGCATTTTTTCAAAAGATTATACTCACCGTTGGACTCTTAGATAATAAGGGCAACCCTTATCATATTATCGACTCAAGGTTGACATCCTGAGTCATACTATCGAATTCCTACAGCAATTGAATAATGCAGTGGTTATCTCGTTATCATAATTTTAAAAACACGTTTTCGACCATTTGGATTTCACAATGACAACAGACAAACCTAACCTAACGAATCTTTTAACCAAAATTCTAAGAAATTTTAGTGACTAAATTACCATTTTCACGTACCTAGTTTATAGTTTTTAATTTCTTCGTTAAATATTATATAGTTTTTAACAAATTCGTAATATAAATAATGTTAATATTAAAATAACATTAATAATTACTTGATATTTTACTATTATTAATAATATACAAGTAGAACCTAAAAAAATTATATTTTAATGTGTATGCGAAAGTATTTTGTAATTTAAAAAAAATACATGTTATGAAAAGTGAAGTAGGTGTATATTTTCTACGTTGTGTTTAAGGTAGCTACAGATCTGTAAATTCAATTATTATATGGCCTATTCTAATGTTTAAAATAGTGTGTCAATTTCCAGTTATTTATAGATATTTGACATTTTTGAGTTTTTTAAGTTTTTATTAGTTTTTATGTGGTAAATTGTTTTCGCCTAGCTAAAATATTTAACAATTTTATTTGATTTTCATCACAAGTTGTATTTAGAAGTAAAACAATTGCATAATATTACACTGATAATTTTTCTCTGAGGATTCTGGTAGTTTAAACGAAGATGAAAATAATAAAACAATTTGCATTAATACGTGTATGGAATCGTTTTTCATTAGAAATAATTTATCAAAACAAATTTGAATATTAGTTCTTAAAATACCAATTTATATGTGTATAATATACTGATATTGCAATCGGTATTGATATCAGCTTCAAATATTTAATTTATGTTTAGTACATAAATACTTTAATTTAAAAATTAAACCAAAAACAAAGTAAAATTTATATGGCTAATAGTTGTTGATTTATGTTAAATACAGAAGAAGATATTACTGAATTTCTTTGTGGAATTCCCAAGAGTCGTCAACTATGTTAGGAATCCAAAAGTCAATGGAAATGTGCATTAACCGTATTTATAGTTATGGTAGACGATGGAAACATGATTTCATTACTTATGGCCAATTGGTCATAGCTGGATTGTATTATACGGGATATGGAGATTGTGTGCGATGTGCCTATTGCAAAAGAGAATTTAATAACTGGCGTTTTGGTGATGATCCCACTATGAAACATAAAAAGTTATCTCCAGAATGTCCTTATTTTAAATTGACACCAAGTAAATTGTTATATTATTACATTCAATGTTAATTGTAGGTATCACAATTTAAGATAATCTTAAATTGTTGTATATACCTAATAAAACATAGTTATTAAGTATTTAAACTGGATCCATTTGTTAAAAATTTTCATATATGATTAGAACACATTTTATGTTATTTTAGATTATTACGACTTGGGTTTTATAATGAAATTTGAATAATTAAGATTGTTAATTTTTACAGTGACTATAACACATGGTGCATGTTATCCAATATTTAAAAACTTGTCAGATTATCATAAACATGTGTTGATTCTTTTACATCTATTAAATGATGTAAAACTCCTTATTCATCCTCTTATTACTTTTGAAGAAAGATTAGAAATACAGCCTTAGAGATATTAAATACCTAAAATAACATTTACATTAATTCAGTTTTAGAAGAATTACATATACAATGTGTTCATGCTAAGAGATACCGCTAAATATTTCAGTCGGATGATCTTGTATTGAAATGGAATTTTTCGGGAAATGATAGAGTATGGAAATACATATTTTCCGACCAATTTCAAATTATTAACCCTTTCGGTACGCGCCAGTACCAGTTGACATATTATTTCTATACATACATTTTTAATTTTTACATTTATTGACTATCTTAATTTTTTATAAACTTTNAAAAATTTAAACTGTCCTTGATTTATAGAGAAATTTATCCCAGTTGGTTGCTGATCATAATGCTGCTTCCACTATTGAGAATAGAAAAAGTGATGTGCATCGGATGAAAAGGTATATTTTATTTTATAATAGATATATATGTATATATAATAATACCTTATTAACAGAACAATAAAATAATAAAGAAAAATAAAATTATTAAAATGGTTAATATTCGTAAATAATTATATAAATAAAAAGTTTATACATAAAAATAGTTTATAAATACCAGCATTCTCAAAAGAGCGGATTTTTTAAAATAAAATTAAAAAAGACTGCCCCCAATTCAAATTGTTAACGCTAAATATGTTTTAGAAAATAATTATAATATTAGCTTTGATATCAATACAGCCTTAGAGATATTAAATACCCAAAATAACATTTACATTAATTCAGTTTTAGAAGAATTACATATACAGTGTGTTTATGCTAAGAGGTACCGCTATATATTTCAGTCCGATGACCTTGTATTGAAATGGAGTTTTCGGGAAATGATAGTGAGTATGGAAATACATATTTTCCGACAAATTTCAAATTGTTAACCCTTTCGGTATGCGCCATACATTTTTAATTTTTACATTTATTGACTATATTGATTTTTTATGAACTTTCAATAATTAATATGTTTGGAAAATATTTCTGAGGCCTTCAAATTTAATAATTAAAATCTTGTTATCTTCATTAGATATAAGATACCTAGATTTTATTTCTAAATAGTATTCATATTTTTATTAGATATTTTGTCATAGTTTCTTCATAGACTATTTTGTTATTTTTTTGTCATTGTATCTCTAATCCCCCTCCTCAGAACTCTGGGGTATTTGAACACTTTTAATAGCTCTCTATGAACAAAATGATCTCAAACTCAGGAAATAAGACTTTTATTTAGATTGATGGAAGAAAAAATAATTTTGGTTAGGTTAGGGGTATGGTGTAAATATCAAGTACACTATATTTAGAAATTTAATCACCACAAAAGCCTTCCATTATAAACATATAAAATTATTTTTTGGAAATGAGATATTTTAATAACTGGAAAAATTACCTATAACATATGACTAGTACAAATATATCTTAAAATTATGAAAAAGTGCCATACAAATATATATAAAAAAAAAAAAAATTGAATTATGGCCAAAAATTGACAAAAATTCAATAACTGCGAAGGTATCATTGTTTAGGACAGGGGTCGGCAACCTTTTTGATGTCAAGGGCCAAAAAATAAAAATAAATTTTTTCACGGGCCATAATTTGAATATACCTTATTTTATTTAAACGAAATGTTATAGTAATTTAAAATTTAATTTATTTAAGTACTTAGTACATCACTGTTTGGTACATTAATTATCGAGGTATCTACAAAGTTATACTAATAATTACACGTGATAATAATTATAAAAAAATACATAGTAAAATATAGTATAATATTGGAAAAAATAAATAAATAAAAATTAATGTAATTTTTGAGTTTGAATAGCATCAACAAGTTTATTGATAGCTGGTTTTATTTTCGATGTAAAAATTCTCAATACAGCGTTTAAGTGACCATCTGTTAATCGCGAAGCATATTTGCTTTTCCGATATTTCAGTAGTGAAAAGGTTTGTTCACAAATATAACTGCTCCCAAATATGGTCAACATTTTTTTAGCAAAATAAAATATTTTGCTAAATTTTGTTTCACAGAGACTGGAATAAAACTAAATTAAGTTATGACAATCATGAAAAGCGGTTTTAAGACATTCATCACTTTGCAACTCAATAATTTCCATTTGTAAACAGCTTTCAACATCATCAATATCAACTACAAACGGGTTCTGAAATAATTTTATTTTGAAGTCAATTGAATAAAAATCAGAAAATCTGGTTGAAAATTCATTTTGTAACTTTTCAATAATACTCATAAATTTTACTTTAACTTCTTCCCAATTACATTGTTGAAATGTTTCCATGGCTTTTTTACAACAAACAAAATGATCTAATTATTTTTCATCAATACGCTTGTAAAACAATTTTAATTTCACCGTAAATGATTTTATATCAGAGTACATATCCGGTAATAGTTTTTCTTTCCCTTGTCAGCAAAGATTACGTGTTGTATAATATTTTTAAACTAACTATAAATTATTATCGCAGGTCGCATAAAATTGCTATGCGGGCCGCATGCGGCCCATGGGCCGCGGGTTGCCGACCCCTGGTTTAAAACGAAAGAAAAAACAAATGTAAAAATCATTTATATCTTATCACTGGTCATAACTTGATATAAATTTCATCATACCACATATATTACATTTTTTTTAAAAATTTATGGTTGGTCTTTAGTATTTTGTTTTACATCCCCCAAAATTAATATTTGTTTAATTTGTTTGTACACAGTTTTTTTTTTATTTACTTGTAAATGTTAAATGTATATTATATTATTGTTTTTTTTTTTTTTGCCNTTTTTTAAAAATTTATGGTTGGTCTTTAGTATTTTGTTTTACATCCCCCAAAATTAATATTTGTTTAATTTGTTTTTACACAGTTTTTTTTTTATTTACTTGTAAATGTTAAATGTATATTATATTATTGTTTTTTTTTTTTTTTGCCACTGTCTTCTAGAAAACTCTTAAGTTTCTACAAACAGAATGAATCAGTTCCTGAATCTATGCTATGCAAGATTTGTTACATAAATAAAGTGGCAATAGCTTTTTTACCTTGTAAACACACAATTGCTTGCTTTGAATGCGCTCTAAAGTTGGATACTTGTGGTATATGCAGGACACCTTTTTATGCTATGAAAGCAGACATATATGAGGATCCAGAAGAAAAAAAAAATTATCAGTTACTAAGCAGTCCATCACAGAGTTCTAATGATGATTCATCGCAAAAATTATTATGTAAACTTTGTGGCAAAAAAGAAAGGAATATTTCATTTCTTCCTTGTTTTCATATATATGGATGTTCAAATTGTGCAAATTTTTTTTCTAATTGCCCAGTTTGCAGAGTACATATTGAATTTGCCATGCAAGTGTACCTATAAGTCATAGTACTCCGTAGTTTCCTGGCATTTTGTTTTATAATTTATATTGATGTAAATGAATAATCATTTAATTTTTATTGGTGTAAATTTAATTTTAGTGTAAAACCTTATCAAACTGTTATATCTTAACCATCCAAAACCATATTAAAACCATATAAAAACCATATTAAAACCATATAAAACACTATTTACATTGTAATCAGCATCAGTTTTATTAAATTAATTAAGTTTTAAAAGATTTTTATTTTGTATTAAAATAAAAATAATACAAATTTGGAATTGCTATATTATCAGTATTTATAGTATTTGGACCATACATTGGGTTTATAATTTTGCATAAATTCAGATTAATTCCTAAAACCTAAATTTATATTTAATTAAGTACTTATTATTTAAGCACATATATTAAAAGATGTTTTTATTTTTATTTGTATCTGTATTTGTTTTGATTTTAATGTTTTTGTATCTATATGTTGCAATTGGAATTAACAATTATTTACCTTTGATTTGTATCATGCATAAAATATACAGTGCAACAATTCTATAATAAACTACTATTTAACAAAGTATAAATGATAAGTATAATATCCATTATTAATATTATAAGTAGTTATTTAATTCACAAGAAAAAGTTATTTGTAAAAAAAAATTTGTATGCATTTTAAATGCAATTTTAAATTAATTTTGTATGCCTTGTATTTTTGTAGTGTTAAAAAATTGTGTGTATTTTATTTTCACAGTATACATATATTAGCTTTGTCTATTTTACATAAAAGTAAAATACACATTAGATATATTTTCTACAATTTTTATTTTAATTAGTACTTAATGGATAAAATTTGTTGAACAAATATAAATGCTTGTAAATTTAACATGAAATTTATTATAAGTTTTAATTAGTAGTCAATAAAAAAAAGTGTGCGTTGTGCAGTTTTTCTTTTTTTTTGTAAGTTAAAATCAAATTTTATGTTTTATCATTGGTTACAGGAATAAATTAAATAACCTAATAAAGCCCACCTTCCTCACTTCACATGTACATTTTTTTCAGCAAGAAAACTTTCTTTAATGCTAAGCAATAAGTCCAAGATCAACTTATCACCCATTACATAACCATATAGAACTCATAGATAACTCACTGACTCACTTACAAATGTGTGAGTTTTATTTATCATATTTTTGAAGTTTGTACAGATTATACTTATTAAAAGTATTATCACTATTTAAAAGAGTTAGACCAGTAATTTCTTTTAAGTTTCTATAAAGCTTATCTTATTGGAGATTACTCAACATTTGGAAATTTAATGATGCCCATTAATGACTTATAATTTCATATCTAAATAATAAAATATTTTTATTAACAACTTCTATTACATATCTAGTGAAGACAGTGTAGGTACCTAATTGAAGCAACAAATAGATGATAATTTAAATCATTTGTATGATGTATGATACATACACACTAACATACACAGTAAATAGAATAATTTCTAATGAAGAACAAACATATTATTCTAACAGTGGATTGAATAGGAAAAGTTTAATATTTGATTTATACCAATTAGAATCTTACAATGGTATACTTTGAATAATTGAAAACTGAATGCCACACTTAAATCACTTAAACCTTAAACCCATAATATTTCAATCTATTTAATGTAATTATTGAGAAAATGTTAACAGAAATTCAAATTTTTTAATAGTTTTGATTTTTCTGGACATAAATGTTTTTAACTTTTAATAATGCCTGGAAGTCATGTTATCCATTAGTTTGCTCTGAAATTTTTTTAAAGACAATATGACAATTAAGATATGTACTTTCCAAGTATTACAGTTTTATAGCTGCTATAAGTATCCCTTCGGGCATTCAAAAAAAATTTGTGATACACTTGTAAAAACCTTAGTACAGTCATTGACCACACAACATTTTGAAATTTGTTTAAATGCATTTGTTAGGCAAGTTTTATTTTTATGTCTAGATGGTATTTTATTCAAAAATGTATTGAAAAGTATGTCGTGTAAAATATTTATCTAAGTCATTGTTATATTGTAATACATATAGTAGCTACACTACATCCGAACCTAACAGATAAGTTTATATGAGGAAAATTATATCTTAGCTTTATTAATGTTAGGAGTAATTGATAAGGTTTACTAATTCTGTCTACTTTCCAATTCAAATAATAAAGGATTTCACAATGTTTAAATAAATTAAAAAGGGCCAAAAATATTTCATTAGAAGGTAATCCTGTATTAAAATTAACAAGTTTCTCTTTTTGACTCATGTTTTCATATGAAAATGTAACATTTAAACTGTTAATTTGTAGTTGTATTTTTTTTTCTAAGCAATTAGTTTTCAAACTCAATATTTGCTGGTTTAAAATATACTTTATTTTCATTTTCATTTCTCATTAGACTTTGTAGGGATTTTAAAAGACTTGCAATTGTATCTGTTGCTTTTATGAGAACAGCTAACTGCCCAACAACAAACCATCACAATATTGTAAAAATACTGTATATAAAAAAATTACTAACAATTAATGATACAAGTAAATGGTAAGTCCACAGAAATATCCAACATAAATATACAATTATAATACAATATATATCTACAATAAGTAGATACCTACTAAAATGGAACAGAACACTATTACTGTCAATGTTTTTTTCACCAATTAAAGGTGAACAAACTCAGATATTATGGTTTTAAATGACAAATCACGATATCTTAATTCAATTTTTAGCCATTCAAAACGTACCATTTGACCATAAAAATATTTTTACCTATACAGATCAAAAATAAAATTTGTCCATTCAGTGCCTTGTTAAAATAAGTTTGGAACAAAACACAATAATTTATAATAACATTATTATTATCACACTAATAGTGCATATTAAGTTTACTTAATTATGAGCACAATCAAATCTAATCAATTAGACGAATTATAAAAATGATCTGTCATTATTCATCAGTTGATATTCGGAACACAGAATGTTCGAATAATTAAGGTTATCGCAAGAGAACAACAATACAGTATTTATTTTGATTTATCGAGGTTCCACTGTAGTTTGAAAATTAAATAACATT